TAGTATTTGCAAGGAAAGAGTAAATCACACCCAAGATCAAGTACTATACAGAATCTGTACATGTTGAAGGTAGTGACTTTAAACTACAGATGACAAATTTAAAACTAATATATGTACCCAAAGTAAATGCATTTCATACATAAAAAGATATCGATAAAAACACACACACTTTGCTGTCGTTCAGTCTATTTGCTTGCTTCGTAGTGCGAGGAAAGCATTGGTTCCTCTGCACTGTGCATATGCATATGCCACTACCTTACGCATATACAAAAACAAATAAATCCGTTCCCTAGGTACTCTGTAGAAACCATGTATTTTTTAATAAAATCAAACTAGCACACATAATGTAAAAAATTATTTTTTTACACATTAAATTCTTTTATCTAGGATGTTATTTTTGTTTGTTTGCTTTAAACTCTTTAGAAATGGGACTGATCCAATCATTTGTACTATGTCAAGACTCAAGAGCATCCTCTACTGACTGAGGTTCTCAGACCACACTGCTAATTTGCAATGGTAAACAATTATTCATGTTTGACACAAATATGCATGATTAACCATTATTTTTTTCCATTGATGCATATACATTATTTGTTGCTGGGATTTCTTTGACACAGATAGGTACTAACACTGAAATTTTTCATGCATTCCAAACACCACTTCAATACATATTGCAACATGCATAGCATAGTACTATCATACATGCTTTATCATCAAGTTACACTACTAGTTTTATATGAGCTAGTTAGGTACTAGCAGTCTAACTGGAGCTATGCTCATAACCAGCCAGTTCCATCTAACTCTCAGCTGGGTTTTGCAGCTGCAATTAAGAGTTTACTAACACAGAGAAGTGCTATTCAAAAGCTCAGGAATACCTAGAAGTCAGTATAGGCAAGCTCTTTGCCTGGTCAAAAACACCACTAAAGAAATGGGTAAAAACTAAGAGGTGCTACTTGAAAGCAACTTAGTATTTTTGTGAAAATCTTGAAATTCCTTAAATGCAGTATCAATTTTTCAGATATTTAAACTCCTGAAACAGCTTAAATCAAAGCACCACATACCCTGCTTTCTTACTTGTTATATTTCATACAAGAAGAATATCTCAGTATCTTTCTAAAAGAAGTAATACATTTTTATATTTTTGCTTTAACTTATATTTCTGCCTTTTAAATTCAGTTTCAACTCAGTGAAAGAGCCAATAAAAATAGATTTAATTATACAGAAAGGATGTTTTAACTGCAGTGCAAATTCATTACCAAAAATCCAAAGAAGAAGCCCTACTTAAAATGTGTACAAATGAATTCATTATATTGATTTGAAAAGAATTGTGCTTTCATTTAATACATAGACTACCAAAGACCAGAGTTGATGAAGTCCAGTATTTCAGTGGTAAAGTTTTACTGAAAAAAATAATCATCACTTACTTAACAACTCTATTTTCTTCTCTAAATGATGCAACCATTAGGAGCCTCTTAAAATCTTACTGCTAACTGTATTAATCTGTTATCTACTGAAAACTTGTAAGACAATTTGAATTCAAAGCACAATATTAAGGGTCAGCTGACACTTTATGAAAACCTTGAAAGACTGCAATTTAGACACAATATTTTTATTACATCTTTTCTCTTTGTTTCTACAACCTTCTTTCTCTTATGAGATAAGGCAGAATCAAGGCAAACTTGTTTCAGAAGCTTGCTGAAGAGTCTCACTAGCACACCATCCCACACATGCCGGCGCTCCACCCCCAGGCTCATCACTAGCGAGTTGTGTTATATCCCCTTTCCCACCTTCCCCTTTCCAATCTAGTTTAAAGCCCTGTCTATGAGACCTGCTAACTCTTGTTCCAGGAACCTTTTCCTCTTTTGAGATAGACATGGCCCATCTTTTGTCACCAAAGCTGGTGAAGTGTAAACTGACCCATGATTTAAAAACCCACAGTTCTGCCTGTGGCACCAGTCTCTGAGCCAAGCACTGATCTGTTGGCTCTTTCCGTTTATCGCCTCAGATCTCCCTGCAACTGGTGCGACAGAGGAGAACACTATTTGTGCTTTAGATCCCTTAACCAGTTGTCCCAAGCCCTTGAAAACTCCTTTCATTGCTCTCAAACTACTTGTTGTATATGATGACATTGAAGTCATATGATTAGACAGACCAGAAACAATGGGACCTAATTCACTCCATATAAAAAACTACACTCAGAAAATTTTATTAACATACACTGACTGTGCCAAAGCCATGAGGACCTTCTAACTTCTGAACATAACATTCGAAACTCCATTTGTCTTACCATTGAATTTTTTACTAATTTCACTCATTGTCTCTTTTAATTAGCACAGTGGGAACACTTCACCAACATGCAGCAGGGTTCTGCAGAAACCTCTGAACCTTGAGAAGTGTCCCTGGGGAGAGTCATCAGCTATAACCTGTCTCGTCTCCTGCTCTCTGCACCTAGGATCCTGCCATTCTTTACTACTGGAATGATCTTTAGGTTAGTCAACATAAAAAAACAGAAGTGCACTGAACCTCAGCAATGTCATCTCTAGCTATGCAGCTCCTTGCAAGATGCTAACCCTTGGCAGAAGTTGAAGCTGTCATAAATAGCAGTAAATTGCAAGAAGGGCAAATTAAGTAAAAAAATTAATATACAAGCTTTGTAATTTGTTCTGTAATAAATGTATAAATGTAATTTAGCACAACAATATTAGGGAAAATATGGTCTTTAGAATAAATTGTTTCAGTAATATTCTTTTAAATGCTCTTTAAGACATCAACAGCTTTGATTCATGAGCTTTGGCAAAGAGCAAAGATATGATACAATTGTAATAATGGCATCAAAATTACCATGAACTTTGATGCTGACATGTCAGAAATTTTATAACCATATTTATTTTATTCACTTTTACTTTCACTTATTTTCTCTATTCATATATAAACTGTATAGTCATTCCCAGTTCCATCTAAAAAACACACACGGCATAAGCTTACTATCTTATAAAACAAAATAAAATCTTGCTAATGAAAATAAGTTCACAAAAC